CTTTGGGAGGTAATTGGCAGCAGGCGGTCTCTCAAGTACCCAGGTCCAATACCATGAAGAGAAAGAGAGTGGGGGGAGGGAGAGAAAAGGGAGGGAGAGAAAGAGAGAGAGACCGAGAGAGGGAGAGACCAAGAGAGGAAGAGGGAGGGAGAGAAAGAGAGACAGAGACCCAGAGACAGAGGGAGAGAAAGAGAGACAGAGGAAAGGAGGGAGAGAGACAGAAAGAGAGAGGGTGGGAGGAGAGGAGGGAAGGAAAGAGAAAGAGGCAGACAGATGGAGAGAGAGAGTGGGAGGGGATGAAAGACAGAGGGAAAAAGAGAGAGAGGGAGGGAGAGAGAGAGAGAAAGAAAAAGATACACACACCCCTCTAGCTGTCTTGCTGACTCTGACCACCTTCTCTCCTAGCCGTAGGAAGGAAGAAGAAGCAGCGTCATGGAGAAATTGTCATCCCTCCTCGCTCCCTCTTTGATCGTGCCACTCCGGGGATGCTGAAAGTACGACGGGAAGGCAAGGAGCAAAAGAAGAACATCCTGCTGAAACAGCAGACCCCGTTCGCCAAGCCCTTGCCCACCCTCGCAAAGCCGGCGGCGGAGGCCGGCCAGGACAACCCCGAGTGGCTGATCAGCGAAGACTGGGCTCTCCTCCAGGTGAGAGGCGATCTACCAAAACAACCCAAAAACCATCCCAGCATCTCTGTGGTGGCCACCCAATATGACCCAGCGGGTGCCATTAAGCGGCCGGGCACTAGATGTGATCTCCTTACATCACTTGTTGTTTTCAGAGATATCTCAGCTCAGAGACAGCCAAGGAACCCCTTTTCTCTCTTCTTCAGAACTGTTTTTCCCCCTTCCTACTTTCTTAATACAGGGATGCGGTGACTCAGTGGCTAAAACCCTGAGCTTGTCGATCAGAAAGGTCGGCAGTTTGGCGGTTCAAATACCTAGTGCCCTGTAACGGAGTGAGCTCCCGTTACTTGTCCCAGCTTCTGCCAACCTAGCAGTCAGTTTGAAACCATGTATAAATGCAAGTAGAAAAATATTATTAAAATTTAAAAAAATGCAAGTAGAAAAATAGGAACCACTTGTGGTGGAAAGGTAACAGCGTTCCGTGCACCTTCGGCATTTAGTCATACCAGCCACATGACCACGGAGATGTCTTCGGACAGCGCTGGCTCTTCGGCTTTGTAACGGAGATGAGCACCGACCCTTAGAGTCGGGAACGACTAGGACATATGTGCGAGGGGAACCATTGCCTTACTTTCTTAACATAAATCCTTAAGTCTATTCCTTTATTAGGAATGTCGGCAGCCCTGGCAAAACGTTTATCTTGCAGACTAACAAGTCTGTCCGACAGGGAGATGAATAGTCTGCCACATCTATTCATCTCCATCCCCTGCCATTTATCCCCAGAGCTAGGGTGGGGCTTCGCTAGCAGTGGTGGCTCTTCTGTCCCAAGGACTGGCCCATAGATTTCCACTGTTCTCCTCTCCTCTGCCTTCTGCGCATCCTCATGTCAGGCACTGGACCCAGCCATTCCTCCTCTTCCTCATCAGCCCCCTCCAGGCCTGGGGGCTGTTGACCCTCCATCTGAGGGCTGACAGATGGCCCAGACTCTGCCTCTGTCTCTCTCTCTCTCTCTGACAGCTCCATTCCCTCTTCCCACTCGGAGCTCCCAGGTTGCCTTGATGACTCTCATGCTGCCTCCTCATCTGATTTGGTTGTTGGAGGGGCTGGCGGCCAACAGGCCACAACAGTCCCTTCCAACTGCATTATTCCGTTATTTTGAGACCTTCCCCCCCTTTACTCCAGGCCGTCAAGCAGCTGCTGGAACTCCCACTCAACCTGGCCATCATGTCCCCTGCGCACACCCCCAACTGGGACCTAGTGAGCGACGTGGTGAACTCCTGCAGCCGGGTTTACCGCTCCCCCAAGCAGTGCCGCAACCGCTACGAGAACGTCGTCATTCCCCGCGAAGAAGGGAAGGTGAGTGCCAGTCCAAACTGGGGGGCGCTTTCCCCCACCTCCCCGTGGCCAAAGGGATCCGCAAGCGAGCGGGGATGGACGCAAAACCCCGTCCAAAGTGGGCTCCCTCTTTGTGACCGTGTGTGCCTGTGTGTGATGCTTTGGTGTGGCGCTTTATCCTCCTCCTTTTTTTTTCCTTTTTCCTTTTTAAAAAAGAAATATTTCTTATTATTTTGCTTGTTTAAGAAATTGCCAGGGTGTTTCCCGCGACCGTCACCGGCTTGCCCTCTTGAGCTAGGTTTAACCCCGATACCTCGTGGACGGACGGGCATGGAGACTGAGACCTAGGAGCTTGTGTCAAGGCTTTCCAGCATGTTCCCCAGTTCCTTTGGGGGGGGGGGTGTCCCATCAGGGATGACAAAGCCTGTCTCTCCCTCACCCCCCCATTCCCCCTCCCCCAGGCCTCACGCCTGCCTCTCCTTTGCCCACTAACTCCATGAGGAGACCTCTCCGATTATTGTCAATGGAGATTCTCAGTCCTCCAGGTCCTGGTTGTCCCAAAGGTGCTTTTTTTTTTTCCAAAAGGCAACTGGACTTTCTTGGTTCCCCCCTCCTCCCTTTTTCTTTTTATTATCATCATTACTATTATTATTACTACTTTTTTATTTTTGTGACACTAATCGCCTTCCCAAACCCATCGCGGAAAGTCAAACTTTGCTTCTTATTTTACAGCTTATGTATGAAGCGAACCCTAAGAAGAAGACTAAAAGCATTTATAAGGTGTGCACTTACAAATTGTTGTTCCAATTTGCAGACAGTTCCGATCTCTTTAAGCGTCAGCAGAGAATGGCGCCCGACCTGAAGTAGGAACGGTCCATATTCCCTCACACCTCACACCCCACACCCACCCACCCCCTCACCTCCCGATTCGGCCCTTTCGAAACATCCACCATTTTGTTTTCCGCGTCCAACGCAGTAGATTGTGGTTGTGGAACCCTTTTGTGTCTCCAGCATGCAGTCAAGCAATTTCCTCACCCCCCCTGGTTTGAATTCCATTATTTTTTCCCCCTTTCAAATATATATATATATAGTTAAAAAATGAAAGAATAAAATCCATCCACCTCCAAGAAACGACACCTCATTCCTCATGGTTTTAGTCTGGTTTCTCTCCCCCCTCCAATCTTTCTTCCTTTCTTTTCTTTTCTTTTTTTTTAAAAAAAAATTGGGTTTGAAGTAATAAAATTTTGGCTACTAGCTCTTTTTTTTTTTGCTTTTCATTTTGAAATATGATTGCTTTGCAGAACTTTAATGAATTAATCCCTGCAACACCCCCTCAGGTAATGTATCACCTCCTCTCCACCACCCACCACCCCATCCCCCCTTTAAATTAACCCCTGCAGAATTCGAGCAGTACAATATAGCTATATTGTTAGAAGATGTAATGGTCCTTCTGAGTGGTTCTTTACAAATTGGATTAGACACACACATCATGAATACACATGCACACAAACCTCAGTGAGGGGTGGGGGGGAAAGCTCTGGCGCCCTTTTTCTGACATCACAAATATTAAGCCTTTTGGGTAATTAAGCTTTTTGTGTTAAGCCATCATAGATATTAAGCCTTAAGCAAACCTTTTGTGAGGTTGCAAATGAATATTAGGTTTGCAACTCGATTAGGAGACCCAACGTTTCAAGAAAAAGCTCTCTCTGTGTGTGTTTGTCCATGCACAGAAGTGTGACCAAGTTTGTACGTTAACCTGAGCCTTCCTTTGGCTGGCTTGATTTGGACTTTTACGGGTTGCACAGATCCGACCCTGTGGGCTTGTTAGTTGTGGGTTTTTGGCTTAGCCTGATGGCGTTCGACAGGGTATTGTGGCTGGTTTCAGCAAATTTGTGTTTAAAACAAGCTGAGTTTTCCCCTGATGTGGAAAACCAGTCTATGCTTATGGGATTGTTTATTGCCCCTGTGACAACCCTGAAAGAGACTGTATTGGAACTCGCTTCTCATAAATGCTGGTGTTACAATAAGCTGTGGTTAGTTCTGAAAAACAAACAAACAGAGGATTAGATAACAGAGGGATCTATCAAGAATTCATTCCCCTCTTTCAATTCATTATCCTGAGACGTGAGAAAACATGGATTCAACGTTGGCTTCCTCCGTTCTCAGCTTTTGTATGAATTAGTCTTGTCTGACTATCTAGACATGGGATGGTGAAGCTTTTTGGCACCGAGTGTCCAAACCAGAACATGCATGCATGCACGTGTATGTGCACGCTGGAGCGCCAGAAACACGAAGACCAGCTGCCATGCTTGATTTTTGGTTGTTTTCAGGCTGTTTTTCGGGCCGTTTTCCAGTGCTCTGGCACCCACAAAGATCCGCTGCTCAGTAACCGGAAGAACAGCTGGCTGAAAAACAGGGCTGTTTTCTGACTGTTTTTGGATGCTCTGAAAACCGGCCGGAAAATGCCCTGAAAGTGGTCCCAAAAATGTCCTGAAAACTGTCCCCCAAAACACCCTGTTTTTTGGCCAGTGTTGGCCGTTTATTGGGCCGTTTTCAGGATGTTTTCCGGTGGTCTGGCACCTGCGAAGACCAGCTGGCCAGCGTGTATGTGCGTGCTGTTAGCCAGAAGAGCAGCTGGTGGCATCGTGCATGCCCACAGAGAGGGCTCTGCATGCCACCTCTGGCATGCATGCCATAGGTTCACCATCACGGATCTAGACAGTCTCCTCTGTTCGAGATGGAATCTGTAGTCCAATGTTTCTGAACCTGTGCAACTTTAATAGATGTGGACTTCAATGCCTGGAATTCTCCAACTCAACCATGCTGGCTAGCTGGGGAATTCTGGGAGTTGAAGTCCACATGATTTAAACTTGCGCAGGTGGACAAACATTGGCTTGAAGTCTTGATTAAACCCACTGAGCCCAGCAACCATAGAGTCTGTTATCTAGACAAGCCGTATCCTGAGGAATTCTGGGAGTTGAAGTCCATCCTTTTGAAAGTTGGCCAGATTTTGAAACATCGGCTTAACACCTTGGTTAAACCAACCCACTAAGCTCCAACAACCATAGAGTCTGGACAAGCCGTACCCTAGGGAATTCTGGGAGTTGAAGTCCACTCTTCTGAAAGTTGCCTAAGTTGAGAAACATTGCTATAGATTATCATAATTGGAGAAGGCCAGATTAGGGAAGATTACTGCATTGAAACTCCCACATGAGTCGGTGCACAGACCAATGCCTCCCTGCTTCTTTCCACGTTGCTCCATATATAAAGTTTGTCACATTTGCTCACGTTTAGACAAAAAACAGTCGCCCACTTCGGACCAACCAGCTGTACGCCCAGGACGAAGGTGCGTCGCACACCCATCTCTACACAAACCATTTCGAGATCATGAAACTGATTGCTGGGAAAAGGAGCCCACCCATCAAACCCCTGTAAGTTCAATTAAAAGAACAATTGGAGAGAAAATGAGTCCTTTCCATGCTTAATAGGCCGGAATCCAGTTGGCATTCCCCAGATGTGATATTGATAAAGGAGAGCCAGCTGTAGTGGGGAAGGTCTTAACTTAGAAACCAGGAGATCGGGAGTTCTAGTCCTGTTTAAGGCATGAAAGTCGGCTGGGTGACTTTGGGTCAATTACCAGGAAACTGAGTTCTAATCCCGTTTTAGGAATAAAAAGCCAGTTGAGTGACTTCAGGTAAATCACCAGTAGACGCCTTAGGCATGAAAGCAACTAGCTTACTTTCAGCCACGTACCAGGAGACAGTGAATTCTAGTTTTTCATGCTTTAGGCATGAAAGCCAGCTGGGTGCATTTGGGCCAGTCCCTCTCTCACTCTCATCCAAGTCCACCTCACAGGTAGTTTGTGGGGAAAATAGGAGTGTCAGGTTTCCGAAAGATGCTCTTATTAATTCATGAGCCCCGAGCCAAGTTTCAAAAGAAATCCAGTCATTTATTAGGAATACCATTTCGGCAAGTTGCCAAGGAGGAGGAAGAACTATTGGGTATGTTCGCCACCTTGTGTTACTTTTAAAGTAGTAAGGATAAAAACATTTAATGAACAAACTAAAAATACCAGCTCGTGTTAAATAATAGAAGTATGCACTTCTATTAAGACATAAGGAATGTCTTATGAACAAAAGGTGTGGCTGCCGTCGCAGCGATACAACACATCCCACAGAGTTCCATGGACTGTGTCGAAATCCAAGCTGCTGGGCGGTCTGGTTGGATCGAAAATCACCTCAGAGGGGTGATAAACAAAGAGAGCACACTCTGCTGCTCTCGGGGAGGCCACAATCTCCCTGATAGATCCGGAGAAGGCTCTCAAACCCAACAGAAAGGGAAATGATGGCCATTGCATGCTGGACCGAAGCTGTGACAGCCACCGGAAGGAAGCATGGAAGATGGACTGACAGTGTGATCAATGGCTTTCCAACAAACACCTCTCTTTTGTTGTTGTTTTATTTCAGGCTTGGCATGAATCCTTTCCAGAAAAACCCGAAACACACTTCAGTCCTTGCAGAAAGGTAAGAACTGGCAAGAGAAGGTGGAAAAAACATATGATCTAGAGCAGGGGGTGGGTGGATCATCAAATCTGGCAACTTTACGACTTTGTGGACTTCCAACTCCCAGAATTTCTCAGCCAGCCATGCAGAGTTCTGGGAGTTCAAGTCCACAAGATGTAAAGTTGACAAGTTTGGAGATTCCCCCCGATCTCGAGTTCATGATATTCACTCCAACACTGTGTTATGTTAGTGATGTGTTTACACATAATCCAGCACTGAAATCATAAGGTTTTAATTGAACTGCTTTGTGCCTATTTGTTTTTGTTTTTTCCCCTTTCAAAATATCTAACTTGGGCTCCCTTGCTCAATCCACCATTTATTCGTTCATTTACTCATTTGCTCATTCACATCACGTTTCTGTACCTCCTATTTGGCTTTACTTCTTATCCTATCTATTAACTAGCTATTTTTCCTTGAATTCTAGTGGGATCAACTATGATAAGCCACTGCCTCCAATTCAGGTTGCATCTCTCCGAGCAGAGCGCATTGCAAAGGAAAAGAAGGTAGGTCAAAAGAGAAAGAAAGAAACAAACAAAGAAAGAAAGAAAGAGGAAGGAAGGAAGGAAGAAAGAAAGGGAAAAGGAAAGAAGGAAGGAAAGAGAAAGAAAGAGAGAGGGAAAGGAAGGAAGGAAAGAGAAAGAAAAGAAAGAAAGGGGGAAAGGAAAGAATGAAAAAGAAAGGAGGGAGGGAAGAAAGGGAAAAAGGAGGGAAGGAAGAAAGAAGAAGGAAGGAATGCAGGCAGGAAAGAAAGAAAGAGAGAAAGAAAGAGGGGGAAAGGAAAGGAGGATGGAAGGAAAGAAAGAGGAAGGAAAAAAGAGAAAAAGAAGGAAAGAAAGAAAGAAAGGGGGGAAAGGAAAGAAGGATGGAAGGAAGGAAAGAAATTGTGTTTTTAATTCTTGTGCCTATTTGCTGAT